GAAGAAGAAAAGGAAACTTTTCTTCGCGTATGTTCCCACTATTGCCTTCTCTTTCCCCCACAGCTTGAGGACCAGAATTTCTTCCTTTATGTTTTTAGGCATGGAAAAGTAAGCATATACTTAAACATTTTTTTAAGGTTTAATACTCAAGTCCAGCCCTACTTAAGCAAAGAATTCACAGATGATATTTACAAGTCCAGTGTAATTACTGCAGGGTTGAAAAACGAGTTCTGTGAGTTACGGTACATCATTGTTTTTTTTTCTTTTTTTTTTTTAATGTTACAAAGAACAATGTGCCTTTCATTTCCTGCAGTGCTGTTAAGGTACTTGCAGCTCAAAGCAGCAAGAATACATTAAAACTAAAAAGCATTTGGTTTGGGCATTAAACATTTTTATTTTTTAGATAAATGCCTCTCCCTCTAAAGAAATTGTTTGAGCAATGAATTTGGCACACATTTGTAATCAGCTGTAATAATGAGTGCTGTCTTGCTCACTTGAAATGGGAGAATTTACCAACTTCTTTAAAAAGAATTTGCTAATCCACAATTAAAGTGGTGTGCTACCAACTTTGAGTTATCAAATCACAATACTACATGCTCGAGAGACATCAGTTGTCTGTAGAAAATGACAGAGCATTCTTCTGCTTTACACAGTATACTTCGTGTGTACCTTTACGCTGCAGTTATTAATTCGCCAGTACTACCACATCAAACACAAACATCGCCTGGTGGATGTCTGACATCCATTTACTGACAGCAGTAACACAGCGCTGTACCACAATTATTAATGAGTTTGTGCTACACCCTCCTTGCCTTTCTCCAGAGTTAAACTCCTGCTGGAGCAGAGCAGGATTTGACTTTTAATATTCTGTGAATCTCTGAAAGCTAGAATAACAAATATCCCCACTTTGCAGACAAAGAGACTGAAAAGTTTTCCTACAAAAGTTTAAAATAATCCTACTTACAAAAAGAAAATCTATCTGATAGCCGTTTCCATGACTGAAAGAGAGAATAAAAGCCCTAGAGAGAGTCCACAGCAGTGCTGAGCTGGGAATTCAGTTGTTCCTGATCCCCAGGCATGCAGTCACTTCACTACATCAGACTAGCCATTTTGTCATCCTCAGTTCACTGAAAACTAGTTTGTTTATAAAATACAACACCAAACCAGTGCATTTAACAAGCTTTTAAAATCAATAACCTTTTTTTTTTTGATTGGGTGAATTGCAAAATCACTTTGCGGTGCCAACTGAAATGAAGCCTTTACATACCATTAGGCAACTACAAAAGTGGGGAATTTTCCACACTGGTGTTCCACCCAGCTGGTCAGAAAAAAAACTCATTTGAGCAAAATATCAGGACATTGGAACATGCTCCTGCCTTTCAAATGAAGTTGCTGGCCTCTTTCATAATCCCTCCTGCAAATTTCCTCACCCACATAACAAACAGACAAATTCTGGGTTTTCTTCCTCTCCCCGAGAAGCTCCTTCCCATGCTAATGGACCTGAGAGACAGCAGCACCGTGCACATCATTCGGTTATGTGTTAGCTTTACCCCCGGTTCCAGGACAAGACATCCGGACCTTGGACCATGCATGCACGAATGAGCCCTGTCTTGCCTGCATGTTTGCTTTTCATGACCATCATGCTGGATCTCTCTCTCTAGAAAAAAATAAATGCTTAATATTTCTGTAAATTTTTGCAGTAGTGATCGGGTAAGTGACTGCCTGAAAACTATTCTGGCTTAACAAAGGCTGAAGAAAGGCTAGAGTGTGTTAAAGCCACCACCGAGAGCAGAAGATGTCACCATCTTCTCTGTGATGATTCTGCTCCAGAAAATGCAACTGTAAAGCCCACTAGAAAAAAGGAGTGGCTCTAAAAAAGAAAAGCTTTTTTTCCCATGAACTTCACTTTAATGAAGGTTAGCCATACAGGCTTTCCAAAAGAACACATACAATTTAAAATGATAAATTAAAATCTGTAGTAGGAGGCCTTCTTTTTCAGGGCTGTATAGTTGACCCTTTTGAACCTACATTACTCAAGGTATGCAAAATATATGTGTATAATAAATAGCTCTAGAATTTATGGAGTGGAACAGAAAGGATATTAACAGGCAAGTAGAGAGGCTGTATAACCCTCACAAGGCCTTTAAGGATTTATTTTTTTAAAATGAAGGAATGCATGCATGTAAAAGGTAGTACTTAATCGATATACTTCTTTGTGCCTTCCAGAAACACATACAAAATGATTCCAGATCTGCCCTCAATCTGGTCATTCTGCTGTTAGTGTCAGTGGGAATAAGATTATTCACAATACTATTTTTCTTTGATTTAAAAAAAAAAAATCCTCACTGTGTGGGCTCATTCCCACTCTCAGTAAAATCAATTATGAGACTCCCATTGACTCCTGAGGGATTTGGATCAGGCCCTGTGGAAGTGGGTCTACAGCAAGTGTAGAACAACGCAGTTAATATGATTTATTGTGTCCGTTTCTGTGCGTGCGGTTTTTCATTTTCTAAAGCCTGCAGTTTTGCTTTCATCCTCACGTTCAGTAGATAAGAGCTGCAGATCTGTGTTGATCTACACACTGGGTACACTGCAAGCTGGGGCTGTGTGTGCTGAGAATGAGCTCAGCGTCTGCCCAGGGGGAGCAACCCCTTTAGGGCTAACAGACTGCGTTAGATGCATTTGTAAAGAAAATCTCCCACACAGGCACTGCAAAAGGTGCGTAATCAGTTAGGAGGCTTCTGCTGTGGTGGGGAAAAATACCCTTTAGTAAAACTGAGAAAAAGCAAAATCCTTTTCCTGTTTATTAAAAAAAAAGTACCTTTTGCAGGTCACCAGTAAAGTTCTAAGAATTCACTAAAAGCTTGTTTTACAAGGAAGACTCAGGCTCCAAATCAGAGATATTTCATTTCACTAGGCTCTTACACATTTTACATTATTAAACACTGACATTGCTGCTTTTCGGGGCGTTGTTGAGTAACAGGCTTCCTTAAGACTAAGAAACTGCAGGGTAAGAATTATGGTTTAATAGCTGTGAAAGAATATTATCTAAACACGAAATAATAACATGCTTGGTGCCTAATACATTCTAAATTAAAATATGATTTAATAAACATAGGCAACATATTCACCACAAAAAAAATAGCAGAATTGGCAGAACAAAAATCACAGTTTAGTCAGTTCTTCTCTTAACCTCTCAATCCTTTGGCTACAAATTAGAATTTCTGTGAACAGGATTGATAAGGGAAATTAGGCACTGTCTTTCAGAAAAAACAGAAATGTTTTAAGATGGTATGTTTAGAGATGAGCAGCACAAAATCTATCAAAATATGAAACCTTTCATATTTCAATGGGAGGAAAATACAGGAACCCTAAAAGCCAAAATCTTACCAGCCCAATGAGCCCCATGTTCTATGTCTTATGATATATGCTGGTATTTTAAAGTTTTTATGCACCTAAACCTCTTCTTCTTCCTTTAATTCTATCTGCCGTTTAAACCCTGATCCAAATGCAGTCCGGATGCGAATGCAGCCCTTCAACCTCACTCCCACTTGCAGCTTGTTCGGTTGCTAATAAAGTCCCCAAAACACACACTGAACACTTATACAGTTGCAGGGATTTGAGGCGAAAGCAGTTAGTTGCTCTGTGAAAGGGCAATCACAGTTGTATTATTACAGATACAATATTTCTACATAAGGTGGATTTACATATCCCAAAATGGTGACAGGTTTTAGAGACAAAAACCCTTCACACATATTCTTTTCCGTGTATCCCCAGTAGACCCCAGTACAGTGGATCCCCCATCTACATTTAGGTCTTATGAAAAAAATCTGGTTATGGATAAAAAAAATCAAGAAAAACTATTAATAATAATCACTTTCACTTTGGGAGACATTATTTCTAAGTCCTAAATATAAGTAGTAAAACAAAAATCAGTTGCCGATGGGCCAACAAAAATTGTTGAGGTCTACCTTACTTAAACATAAAAAGGAAGAGAAGCTGTTCCCTTACACACATACTTATCTTTTCACATACAGTCCCTATAGAAATTTACTATTATTGAATGATTTTTTTTCGGGCTGCTTTACAAAGCAAGCCATTGGTTCAGTAGAAGCTATTGCTTCTACTTTAAAACGGTCCCAGTTCAAAGAATATTAGTGTTCCCAAAAGTCACAGTCCTGCTGCTACTTCCAAATAAGCTCAAGCCGCTGCCACCTGAAACAATGGTATCGCGAACATACAAAGAAGGAGCAACAGGCTCTAGTTGAGCCTCGCTGCCCTGCTTACCCGTAGTATCTACAACCTTTAAAGCGCACTGATAAAAAAATACAGACAACGCCGGTAGCACCTGTATCAGCCCTGCAGTGGGTACCTGCCTGAGCAGCTGGTATGCTTATAGGTGCACAGTCCTGCCCTGAAACTGCAATGTTTGGGAGCGTTGCTGCTCAGTTTTGTTTAGCAGAATTTGCAGTAGAGAATGGGTCTGCAGAAACATATTTCAAAGCAACCATTTTGTTTCGCGGGACTCTCTGAGATCCTGCACTCTAAAATGATGGCTGGCCACATACCGAAAGTTAGGTACTTCAGTGTGTCATGTGAGAGCATCAATAAACAAAATGAAGTTAAAAGCACATAGATAAAAATGAAAGCGGTGAAGCACACACCCCTAGGGGGTCATGACTCACGGCCCAGGGATTGAAAGCCTTTGCTACGGAGGAATAAGGATAAGGGTTGCATACAGCAGGCTCTTTAATGGCATCTCCCTAATTAAAACTATTTTTAAAGGGAAAAAATTACTCACTCCAGGACTGGAGAAACAAATGCTACCTTAGATGAGTGAAACAGGAGCACTTTAACTATGAGGAAAGTACACAACCTATCTGTAGCTATCCCATGTCAATTATTCTGATTAATCTTTTTATATTAGACATAGGAAAAAAATCTTTATAAATATGGGCTGTTTTAATATCCCAAAGCAGGAGCAGCAGGTAAGAACTTACCATTTTCTGGCTGGTCCTTAATATCAGCTTCACTTGGCTGGCTGGGACTTTCAGATTGACTTGAATCTGAAAAACATAAAATACAGCCAAAAATTACAGGGTCTGCTGTGGAAAATAGATCAGAGGCGCCAGACTTCCTCAAAAGGCTGAGAGTACAAACTAAGGACAGGAGTGTTGCACTAGGACATGATAATGCAAAAGTCCCGTGCCTAGGTAATATTTTTGCTATAAAAAAAAAGGGGAATCTTGTTTACGGCACTACACAGAGTGCTTGGTGTGTGTGTTAGCATAAATTAAGCTTTGAGAATCCTTCTTTTTAGAGAAGGCATATTTAAACTACTCTCCTACATGTTTTTTATAATGCCGCCTCTAAGTTGTATACAAACCAGAGCCTTAATCCAACACATAGTAAAGTCTCAAAACATATTTTCAAGCAGGCATATAAAGCAACACTACAAAGTCATGGAGATTGTTGTCTACACATTTCTGGAACAAAATCTGCAAAACTGATAGAAGAGCTGATTTTTGTCATACTTTTGCAGTGGTTACAGTACTAGAAAATCACTGAAATGTACGGCGTTGTCCCTGATTTGCAGTGGTATAAATGAGGCCAGATACTGGATGAACTGCTTTAGAACTTGTGCAAATAATGGGTCCTACAAACTCCCAGCTAACGCTCTCCAACGAACACAATTTATTTGCTTAAAATAATAAAATGACCTATAAAAGGATATGTGTAAATATGAGTGTTTTGCATTTTTTACTCATTATTAACTCTACTTTATGTGAAGATGATTGCTCTTTGGTTCAAAAATTATTCCTAGTAGAAGCTTTAGTCAAATAGTATTTTCCTTCTTAATTATTTCTATCACTATGAATTGGGAAAAAGGTCCCTTTACCTGTGTGGAAAAATATTTTACAAAAAATCCCTCAAATTACTGTTTTCACAATTAATACAAATAGAAAAAGATTTCTTTTTTTTTTTCCCCTCAGAAATTGTTCTGTAATTTATTGATCCCATTAAAAAAGTTTTTGCTGTGAAACAAAACTTAGGAAATGAAACCACTTGCTACTGCATCAAAAACACCCCCAATCGTGGCAAACCTATTTTCTGACTTCACCTTGACTTTGCAGAGTTTAGAATTAGCTGTCTGAAATTTGACCACATTTCAGTGAGAAGTCAATGCAAGATCAAAAGGTCATGACACTTAACTGTGATTAAATTGAAAATCTTACTTCTATTGCAACAGAGTGATAACACCACCCCTTCTTTTTCTTTGAGGTATTAATAGCGCTGGAAGAAGCAGTACTACTAGTGACCTTGGGTCAAGCAATGCTAATTTATTGCTTTAAAAAGGTTCCTTGCTTTTAAGCAAATGAAGATTTTAATTACCGCAGAGCACTATAAAGAAAATGCCTATTTTAAATATTCAAATTTTTTTTACCTGCTGACTTTATGCATTAGGTATCATTCAGTAGCTCAGAGGACAATCTTGTATAAATTAAAAACTACAAGTAAAAAAAGTGCTCACAAAACAAATTTTGATAAATTTCAGAATATAAACATTCAGGATATTTAGCAAAGAAAGCTTCAGTCCTGATACTTCTATTTAAAATCAATGAAATTCTCCTAAAAAGTGATCTGTTTCCTAGTGTGTCCAGAATCCATTTCCTCTCTCTTGTATTTATTATTTTTAATAATTTCGCCAGTGAAGCTCAGTGAAAAAAATTATTCTCACTTCTGCAATTTTGTTTTAAATATTGACTTTCTGAGTTATCTTTAACTGAAGCTGAAATCAGTGACAGCAGATAGACTACCGGGTAGTATGCACAGTGCTGTTATATTCTGGACACTAGATTTTGGCAAGAAGTTTGATGTTTCCGATACCGCAAAGGTAGAAACAAAGGTAAAATATTAGGAATGTAAAATATTTAGTTCAAAGTCAACATTCAACGGATTTCATTTTACAGGGCAGGCATTAGGCTTTTGCTTATTTTTTAGGTTTTTCTTTTCCTCCAGCAAGCCATGGTTCAACCAGCGTTTGGGCTTTATGTTTAAAGTAGGGTCAGAATTCCACAAAAATTTATATATTTGAAAAAGTTACTGCAGAAATATGGGACTCAAAGCATGTTTTCCTTTCAAATTTTTAAACAATCCAGCGAAGCAGCGAGAGGGACGAGGGCTCTGTGGCAGCCGCGGGAGCTGGGCTCGGTGCTGGTGCTCTCAGCCCCCAGCCTGGCACCCTCATTCCCCAGCACAGCCCTGCAGCCGGTGGGCAGCACACAGAGCGGGAGCTGCTCCTGGATTTTGAGAAACAAAGTACTTTTGTTTGTGTTGAGTGCTGTTTTTCCAACACCAAAGCTAGTGGCACAAGAGAGACACTACTGGCCGTAGGACATTTATTTGCATACTGAATCTTAACTTTCTTCTTTTATTACTCTGGCTACTGCGATAACATTTTTCCCAATTCTGTTTTCCTGTAACCCACCCCTTCTGCTGAAATTCAATATTAATTTCTAAAAAAGACAACAAAGACTTTAAGTGCTATTCTTCGTGGAGAGGCATGGAGCAATAAAATGCAGGACGATGTAGAATTAAAACCAATCTATACTGCAGTAGAGATCACAGGAGGCTACCGAAAACATGTACCGGGCAAGCGTATGCTCAGCATTGTTATGCAAGGTGGCATCTTGTGGAAACCCCAGATAAGAAGACCGAGTTAAGGCACTTAGCCAAAATGTTTATATGCAGAATTTTGCTTCCCTGATTTTATTCAGATGCTGCAGATGATCCGGTACATATAAATGTGCCGCCACATGGTTAAGGGATTGGCAAAATCAGAGCCGTTGTATTTTACAGTCTTGCCTAGGACGACAGAGTCTTGCTCAGCCTCCACCACTCGCTCTCTGCTTTTTCAGCAGTTGGCAGTAACTCCTGTCGGGGCTTTTTTGTTGTTTTGCACATGGAAACTTTAAAATTCCAGTTTTCTGAATGTTTAGTGTTTTGTGGACTTGGCTACAATGGGAGGGGGAATGGCTGTCCTGCTGAGTCAGTTAGCCAAACAGGTGACCGGAGGAATAAATTAATTTTTGCCCATACATAATTGATATAAATGGAAGATCGTTTTCATAACCATTTGCATTAAATCAATAAAATCACTTACTATAGAGCAGTTTAACAATTCATTTGATTTTCTCTTTTCTATATATTTGATAGCCACTCTGCAAAACAGTATACACTTTATGCCTATATTCTTTAGCAACAACACTGCCAGTTAAATTCTACCACCTGCAATAATTAGAGCCATTGGAAAACATACAAAACAAAATATACAGTAGATGCGAGCCCCTCTTGAATCCATGGCCCCCTGCGGCAACGAGTTTCATTGGTGCCTTAAGCTAAGGCTGGTAGGAAGCCAAAGAATCTGTATATTACAATAAAGTGCATGTTATTAAGGGGAGGATTTAAATGATTTCAGATGGAGTTGGAAATATAGTGAGGAACCATAAGATTGCCGATTTAAAAAAAAAAAAAATCACCAAGGAATCTAGTTTTATATTTAAGGAAGCTTAATCTTGAATAGCACAATGGGTTTTATTTGGGGGCTTTTTTAGTTAAAGAAAAGTTAGTGGTTGGATTTTTTAACCCTGAACTAGCCGGAGTTAGCGTGAGTATGTATACTGAAGTCAAGGTTACTGGACAAGAGAAGCTCAAGGGGATCTGGTATCAACTGTAATCATGGGGAAACAGGATAAAAAGCATGCCGAAGCTATTTTACTCTCTACTTCCAAGAATCAACTATGATTAAGGGATAAAGAAAAAAAAAACCCAACAAAACAGGCTAGTTTTTCCGAAGTAGCATTTCCTACTATGTCTCTACTCTCTGTTCCTCTTTGGATCTGTTTCTTAAGCATATGCTACCCCAGCGCGACCGAGGTGGTTACACCTGAGACCCAAGTCTGCCTGATCTCAAACCGTAAGCAGGCAGGGACCTTCAGCTCCAGGACGGAAGCTCTGGAATTTTCAATACGCAGCTCTCCTTTTCAGCTGCAGCAGGAGCGCAGCTCCAGCCGGGCTGCACGACGGCTGCGTGGAAGCAGGGCTCGCAGTGCTGGAAGGGAGCGCTCCATTGTTTGGAAAGAATAAAACCTTCCCAGGAAAGTCTGGCCGGTGGACAGGACCAATGTCAACAGACTGACAATGTTGTTCTTTTTTGTAGACTGTGACACAGGCGGTGAAGAGTTGTTACACTCCTCCACCAAAAAAGCCCACTTTGAGTGTCATGGCACTTCCCAGTGCTAAACCTATTCATGGCTACCTGACTTTGGAGAAACGGAACACTTTCTTGGGCACTCGCACTTTCTCGACACGCCGTGTTTTCCAGGGCGTGCTGAATCCAGCCTGGGGTGGCAGTGACCTACAGGGACCGGCCTTATTGTCTGCTGGTCTGCGCAAACGGAATTAACGGGTGTCAAGATTATTTTTTAACTATGTAGAGCCAGCCCCCACCAGCAACTGAGCACTCACTAGCAGCCAGCGTGCTAATTCAGGTGCAGATGCATCTATCCTCTAAACAGTAAAGGTGATCCCCACATAGTGGAGAAAAAAAATTACCGGCAATGCCAGATGAGCAAGGCTGCGCTGCCACTGCCCATGCTGAGCCTGCTCTGCAGCTAAATAAAGCGGGCTCCCTCTCCTCCGCTGCCAGCCCAGCACCTCGCAGAAGCACCGCAGAAGTGCACAAGTTAAATTTTCCATTCATATCATGTTTTAAGGGGGGGAAATATTGTATAATAAACTGACATATTTTATTCAAGTTTCAGAGTCCTATTTGTAATAAAAAATTTATATGGCTGGGTTGTGTTCATGCAATAAATTTTTCATCTATAATTTTGGGCATGGATTCTACCGAAGATTTATATACGTTAAAAAAAAAATCTAAATCATGCTCCTTTATATACAGTCTTGCGTGGTGAGCTTAAGGGATTTACAAACAGAAGCCAGCAGCAGGACTGAGGCTTTTTTACTCTCACTTGCCCTTCATTATACATTATAATATAAACAC